TGCTTACTCTGCTTACGAAATACATTTTTCATTTAAGATTCTCTAATGATGTTCGTAGTTAGTGGAAATTATTTTTACCGACATATTCATTAGGCATCAGACTTATGAATAGTATTTATCTACTTCTATTTTTACTCCAAACCATTGTCTGGTATTCCCCGTTTTCGTTTGTTATATGATTTGGTGTTTAGCTTCGAATTCGTTACTTGTAATTAATGCTCAGAATGTTTAATTGGTGAATCCATTAAATATAGCCTTTTATACTAAAAATAAACGATATTTTGAGTTTCAGTATAATCATTGATATTTAACGATTGCTCCAAATTTAAAATATATAAATGAATCATCATTGACAATTATAATTTTTAAATTAAGAAAATTAAAAATTAAGTCAGTTTCTAACTGTTAAAGCTTAGAACAACTATATTTGAAAAAAACCGGTGTTTATATACATTACATAACTCATTTTAATACTTTAACTACTCTGTAGAAAATTTTTGAGTGTTGTCTAGTGGTTTTTTCAGAATTAGTGTTCTTTAACTCTTTGACGTAGATGAAACACCGGTTTCTTCTTTGCATCATTTTTTCTGTTGCTTTAATTGCAAACCAAAATATATATTTTGGTATTTTTTAATTATATAAAAACAGTCTAATAGTTACAAACTAATGAAATAAGTCAGATTATCGAAATTATATTTGTACTGAAATACAAAATACAGAAAAAAAGTTTAGATTTTTTCTTTTTGTTCATATTCAAAAATTTATCAACAATAAATTTTAATGATGGATTCTCTTAGATCTAAATAACTGCATATAAGTGCAAATTTGAAAAATTATTATTTGCTAGTGAACCAAGTTATGGAGATTTTACTTTAGATCCATAAAAAAACACCGGCGATCCGAGCCACCATACGGTTTTAAGCTGTATTTTATAATCATAAATTATTAAAATACTAAATATAATATCTTTCACTTATTTTCATCTAAATTAAATTCGGTTTCGAGCTGTATTTTGTAACCATAAATTATTAAAAGGCTCAATATAATATCTTTCTTTTATTTTCATCTAAATTAATACGAAATATTAAGAAACGAGAATGTAAAAAATATGTTTAACAAAAATTCCATTTCAAAGGGTTAAATGGAAAATAAAAAATAAAAATAACATTTTAGGTAGAGGAGGAGAGATAGTAAAAATTGCTTCAAAATATAAAAATTAACTGAAAATTAGCAACATTTGAAATTTTCTTCCGTTCTTACTCTTTATATTTTAGGGAAATGAAGAATGAATAGTATTTGTCTTATGCGGTTCAGTCTTAATCCCTAAATCTTCTCTCACTAGATCAATAATGATCGATCTATAACTATAACTTTCTATTTTTCCCAAATTTGAACCAAATATGGCCCAACAATGCTAATTTTTAATTTAGTCGATCACTAGGTGACATCTTGTTAAGTGTAGAACATGTAGTTGATTTACTATTCTTAGACAGGGGAAGAATTCTAATCAAATTACTATACTAATGAAATGGTAATAAAATTTCTGGTAAAACAAAATAATAATTCTTTTAATAAAGGCAAAGCATTATATATTTAAGCAATTCATTTATTACTTTTTCCGTTCAATCGTTTATTAAAATTTCTGGTTTTCAAAATTGCAGTTCTTACCATACATTCAATAAAAAATATAAATTTGAAAAATAAACTTTACCGAATAAATGCTTTTAATGCCATGTTCTAAGACACCATGATAAAATTACTAAATTTACCAAATTTTATCGCATACTAAAAAAACATATTTTGTTGTTAGCATATTGCTGTTTTGTTGTTATCATATTGTATATTGCATATTTGTCAAAAATTGAAGTCCTACTTCCGAGAAAATTCATATCGAACGTAATTACTCTATCCAATTACGCGTAATGAATTAAATATAATTCTAGGAATGGAACGAATAGTTAGAATGAATTAAATATCGTGTGACATTCTACTTTCCATTATTAAAATTAACTGCTCTACTTACAATGAGTCAAAACTTTTAGTATTCCAGCAGGATGGCTGGTTCTATCTCTGCGTAATAATTAAATTAATAAAACGAAATCATTAAACATTGAAAAAGCATAACCAAATTAAAATCATCTAATAAGTATTTTATTAGTATTTGTTCGTTAGAAGTAAGTTTAAATCTGCGAAATTTTTGATCAAATTTAAAGTCATCAGACCCATAATTTGTCTTCAATGATTGATCAAAAATAATTTAAAATTTCATCTTTTGAAAAGAGATTCTGAATAAGTGAGCAAATAAATACTCGCAATACGTCAAATGACAATATCTATAATTTCTGCGGTCGTAATGGTAATCAATCAAAGGTAGAAACGTAATCGCTTTCAACGCCACAAAGCTTTTTTACCGTTATGTCTGCTCTAACTGGCCACATCAAAGAGCCATACTGATCTTATTGTATTAAAAATACTGTAAACTTAAATTGACTGACTTTGAAATTATCAATTTAATAATTGATTTTTAGTAATTGATAATTGATTGATTTAATTATTATATCCCTAGCAACATTTTTACATTGGCCACAGTTGGGTTCAACATTGGATTGATATGGGTTCAATAAGAACAGATGGACCAATATTGGGATATTTAGATTTGTTAATTTTGGTCCTAGAATGGCCTATATAAGACCTACATTAGCCAATATAGAACCTACATTGGCTAAATAATGGATATTAAATATCAGGTGAATTTGACAATTCTATATAGGACCAATATTGTTTGTAAAGTGGCTGTGAAATATCGGGTGAATCGAAAAATTCTATATAGGACCAATATCGGAAAAATAAAGGTTCTTTGAATCCTTACTGAGCCAAGATTCGTGAATATTGACCCAATGAGGGCCCAAGTTATTTTGCTTCTAGGGATGATATAAAATAAATTTTTATAAATTGCATTTATGTGTTGTAGCATTTTTTCCTACTTAAAAATAGTTTTTTTTTATCGTAACCCTGCTAAATTTACGGAATATGTTAAAATTAAAAATTTTTGGCTCTATGGGAATACAAAAAAGTATAGTGGGATACTCAAAAAGGTAAAATCCATTAAGGAGTTCAAACTTTGGCCCGCTCTCCTGATCAAATAATTGGAATCATATATCCATGATTGCTGCTGCTCCCTATATTTCGGGGGTTAGAAATCTAAATTCATCGATAAAAAAGGTTATTCAAAGAAAGAACATATTTGTATTTGAGTACGCAACTTGAAATATCGTCTCTTTAAAGGAATTAGTATATGCAGGTGACCTCCGTGAACCATTAAGTGTGAGTCCTAATACGTAAAACTCTGACCAGTAGGTCAAAAGTTATGCACAGTGTTTTTTTCTCGCACTCTACGTGAGGATGTTTCGTTTTCGACATGTAATTTTTCACACACGTCATTACACAAACTCTTCATTTTAAAAATTATTAAATTAATGGAATATTGTAAGAATACTTTGGAGTAATAAATTGACTTCATAAGATCCAGGCTTTAAAAAATCAATTCTGGTAGTTTTTGTTTTCAAACTAACTACCAATCAATATTTTCTTTTATCTCTTTATATAAATTACCTAAGGTATACCTAAGATAATTTAAAGATTAATACCTATGATAATTAATAAGATAAAAGATAATAGTGCGCTGTCTGCAATATTATAATTTTAGATATTAATCAGCCAATAAAATTAAAAGTTTTCCTCAACTTAATTTCATATTGTTCCGTAATCACTAGAAAACAAATAGCATAAAAAATGGATGACTCCTGATGTTACCTAAAAATTTAAACAAAATAATAAAAAAAACAGTTACTTCTTAAGCTGATCTGAAAAATTTACTAAGATCATAAGTCAAAAAAATTTAGATTTCGTTTCAGGAGGAGCGAATTTTTCTTTTTAGTTACGTGGTAACAGACCGTTTGATAATAAAGAAATTTCGTCAAAGTTTTATTTTTAAGCATCACACATTTTTTAAAAATATATTCCAAATAAATTTTTGCTGCTTGCGTTGCCGTATCTGTGAATTATAAACCCATGTTTAACAATAAACTAACCACTAATAAAAAATGTACAGCTTTGATTTTTTGTAATTAAACATTACTTACAAATCAATGCAATGTATAAAATAAATTTTTATTGTGTTTTAATCATTAGAATATATTGTATTACTTCTAAGATATTTTTTGATCAAAAACTTCCAAGTTTTTTTTAAACAATTTCTTAAGCACCGTATTCTAGTATTCTTGTAAAAATACAAGAATATGGATCTTATATCATATCAAAGGTTATTTAAAGCCTTTTTTTCTGCATTGCAAACAAAAGGTGGTAATCAAAGATATTCTGACATTGCTCATTTTGTTAAAATTGCATCGAATAGCTGTGATTGTTTATTCCGAAATTCCTTTTGAATTTAGTTTTGCTTTCATTTATCATTATTTCATTTGAGACCTGCTTCCTGTCATGAGGAACTTAATTAATCCTAATTCACGTTGCACAGAGAAAAAATCCTTCCTAAACGTAGTCCTATAGCAGGGTAACTTTTGTTACTAGGTCAAATACGGAATCTTCCCATGGTAATTCCTACGACAAGAAAACACTAACCCATGCTTTTTCTGCCACAGGATATAGTTTTCGTTAACCCTGTAGTTCGAACAATACATGAATTGACCAGTTGTGCCAAATTTGTTGCCCCATTGAGCTCATTGTAGTTCGTGCGAGCTGGGAGCAATACACGAACTGACCAGTTAGGCCGAATTTGTTGCTCCATTGCGTTCTATTGCCTCGTTTTTAACACTGTAGCTCGTGCGAGCTGAGAGCAATACATGAATTGACCAGCGATGCCGAATTCGTTGCCTCATTGTTGCCCCATTGTGAAGTTAGAACTTTATCCAATAAGCAACTCTGTCCCTTCTGTCTTGTCCCTTCATATAAAACTAATTTAATGCTGTTTTTTTTTATTTCAGGAGCCAGCTTGATTTACGCCACAAAAGTCCCGGCCTCTGACCTGAGTCCCGGCACGCCCCATGTGGCTCCACCACCCTCCTCCGCCACTGCCACCTCCCCTAGCACACCACTCACAATTGCTGCACCTTCATATTGAACGGAGACTCACGACCTTGTGACCGTTAGCTGCAAGTGCCTGAGTGTCTGTTGTTTGTGTTCGTGTGTGTGTATGTGTTCAGAAAGGACTACACTTCGTCCTCAATGGTGCTGCCCAGGGCTGCCTTTACTCAAGGTAACCGATTTTCTTTTTTTAAATTTATGCTCTAAATAAGAAAAATCTTTAATTTTTAGCGCGCTTTCCTATATGAATGTGACTGAAATTTCTATTAAGTTAGCATTTATAAACAAAATTAAACACATTTGGCTAAAATATAATAGTCAACTTCATTTATTGAATCATTTGACACAATATAAACACCCGAATTGTCTACGGGTGAGTATCCAAATGAACAGTTTGTCAGCAATCCTGTAAAACAATAGTAACGTCTTTATATACATGTAAGCTCGTGCAGTTGGCTAAGGACCTAAAACAAAAGGTACTTACTGCCACATAAGGATAGCTGGTTGTGTGCTGTAATTGCCTCCAATCTTGTAAAACAACTGTAATTTTAATAATAGATATAAGTTGGCGAATTTCTCTAAGGACTTACAAACGAAAGCTCCTTACAGCCACATATACAGGCTAATTGTTGGCCACAATTACGTCCCATCTTGTAAAACAATTATAGCTTTTATAATCGATGTAAGTTTCCAAAGTTCGCTAAGGATCTAAAACAGAAGATCGTTACGCCAAAAATTAATATTGCAATGTATGGTTGGGAACTACAATTGAGGTATTCATATAGTTACGATAGTATTGCAGTGCCTGGCTGTGAATTACAATTGAGTTACTCGTATTTATGATACTATTGCACTGTAAAACTCGAGCCTGAAATTGTGATGGTCATTTGTCATATTGCAATTAATGAAATTCTCTGAAATTCCATAGTTGTTGCATTTATACGCATAGTTGTTGCATTACGCTCATATATTTTAATGAACTTCAACCCCAAACTAATCTGATTGAAAACTTATACATGAGATTTTGATATAAAACTGTACTGTAATCGATAACAATATTCACGCTTTAGAGTTTTTGGATGCATTTCTTTTCAAAATACCAATTCGTTCTAAATACCTTACAATTTCTTCTCATAACATACTGTTCACCTTCTGCACTAAAATAAATGCTGTTCCTCACTATGAATCTTTAATCACTTAAATTTCGTTCCAGTCAAGTTTAAAGTTACTTTTTTTATTCCTCTGAAGTTAACGCACGTAGAAGGTCACATTTTAGCTCGCAGTCCTTTAGTTTTCCTATGTTATTAGAAAGGGTAAGGTATATCAGAAGAAAAAATTAACCAAGAACATTTCGTGAAACCACCGGAAAGCTGAAGGGGTTTTTAAGTATGATTTTTAAAACTTAAAGAAATATTGTTAACAATAAGCTGCATGATTAAATAGTACAGTTAAGATAGCTCAAAAAACAACAAAGCCAGGACATCGATAAAAAAAGATTCCAAACCTGTGAATAGAAACAACAAAAGAAACAATATGACCGAAATCATTGTCCCATAAGTTCGTTGACTTACCAATACCATGATTTACGGCAAAGTGTTTAAAACCGCCATCACTTTTTAAAGTAATTTTTTATAAATATGTGTATGCATTACAAATTTTGACAAATGATAAAAAAATTAAATTGATGTAAATTAAGTTCTTTAAAAATGCTCTAACACTAAATTTAAAAGGACAAAGGGATATGGGTATTTATTCCCTTAGCATTTATTCCTTATTATTAAAATCTCATTACTCTTAATAAAATTAAGCTGAACCAATTACTTAAAGAAACATGTAATTGAAAAATGAGATCAATGAGGGCCCAATAACATTTTAGGGTTTAAAACTCCTTCTGAAATTCCTCTAAACCTTACTCATGTAATTCATTTAAATTAAATCACGCCAGGTTTCTAAAGGATATAACAAAGCACTTTCGTGCATTTGTACACGTCGTCTTCCTTATTTGTGTTACTAACAAGCATCCAGTCCCTTTCAATTGCTTAAAGCCCAATTTGGTTTAGATGGATGGGAAAGACACTTGTTGCTTAACATCTAGATGGAAATCAATGCACTCTATCCGTTCTCTAACTAGAAAGATAAACACTCAATTCTGTTTCTAGCTCAACTGTGGTATAATAAATCATTGTAGCTATCATCATACGATTGATATTATAAATCTGCGTAAGATGATATCTAAAATAGCACTTTATTTATAAAATTAAGCTTTTTTGTCCTAATATGCACTATAGTAATTGATATATTTGTTAGTTGAAACAATTTTGTACATGAAATTTTGAAGTTCGAAATTTTTCTTACCACTTTAATAACCTTGTAAAGCAAGTTAAATTTGGGATTTGGATAATACTGGTGAACATTTTATTATTCTGTTACAATAGATTTTTTAACCTATCTTGAATCTTTTCACGTTGATTTCAAATCGGCAATCGTTTTTTTCTTTCTCCAAGCTAGAGCTGTTTTAAATGACATTTTTAGTCTAATTTTTGTCGAAATGTACAAGTTTAAAAATGATGTATTTAACAAAGGGTCGCGTAAATGTTGCGTCAAGCTTCTAGGGGAGTTAAGACCCATCATTAGGAGTAAGACTGCATAGGAATGCATGATCAAAGATGTCATCATACGCTCTTAGGAGTTTTTCTCTATTATGAACCGTTTCTTCGTGTGCTTCTAAAAGAACATAATAGGGAAGCGCATCTAACAGCGTACGGAGACATTTTCGGCCACGGTTTCCTATTCACTTTTAATCTTGGTGATGTGCTCTAACTCCCCTAGATGTTTGTCGCAGCATTTACACATCCTCCAGTTGTACGTAACGATTTTAAGTTTATTCATTTCGACAAAAATTGACTAGAAATGGCATTTTAAAAATATCTGTAGCCTTAGGAGCAAAACTAATTTCCGATTTGAAATCCCCTCACCCGAATTAGGGAGAATCAAGTATTTGTATAAAGACAACGAAAACTTTGTTCCCCAGTATTACTTATTTCTAAACTGGAAATTTTCTCATATTTTTTATGATTATAAAAAAAGTTGTTTATGAAGACCATTTTTATTTTTATCAAGTTCAGCGTTTTATTGGTATTTTCAGAAGTCCTTATTAGTTTTCTTTAGTTTAGTCAAGTTATCAATGATGGTACTATAAAATAATGAACAGGTTTTTAAATTCTTAAAATTTAACATTTTTATTGATGGTACTTTAAAATAATGAGCAGGCTTCAAAATTCTTAAAATTTAAAATTTTATTCTTATTTTAAAGAACGAATTCCCTTAAAATAACGTAAACATATCTCATAAAGATATTATCTGAAACATCTGTGTCACCCAGGAATTTAGTTTTATTTTAGTAACAAATTGGTCATGATAAATATGAACCTTTTCAAACATTTTCGTCAGTTTTTTTAATAATATTGAAAAGATTTTGGCACTCAAATTTTTCTGTTTTTGCAATTAAATTTTATTGAATACACAAACTTTACTGAGTGAAACAGCACAGTGTTTATGGAACACTTTCTGCTATTGTCTGGCTTCCATTAAGCACGAATCCTCTTATTCTCATCCCGAATGGGAATTATAATGGGGTATTCGATTTATGATTCATAATTTTTTACTATACTGTATTGTCACTGATTATTGTATTTTACTTTTTATTCCTATTACATTTATAGAAAATTCTTGTAAAATTACCGTTCTATATAAGAATGACATTTTTTTTTAAGCATAAGTTAGGTTTAGCAAAATGCACGGTATTTAGCCATTAATTTAATAATTTTTACATAAATATGGCAGCCATTTATCAGAAATTCTTGTTTTCAAAATTATGGATCTTATTACTTCACATTTAGTAAAATATATTAAATTGAAAAGTCAGTTTATCCGAATAAATTGTTTTTATGCCATGCTCTTAAAAAATCGTAATAAATTTACTATCATTCAAACATAACAAAATTTTACCTTATTTGGCTATATATTTTATCACAAATTATAAAACTATGTTTCTTATTGTTACATTTACCAAAATTATTACCAAAACGCTATTGCAAAAATTATTGAGCTCCTTAGTATTACCATAGAGACAGAAATATGATAAATTTTAGCGAATTCTAGTAGTTTTGAGCACATGTTTTTTCCTTAATGTATAATCTATAAAATTAAATAAAAGATTTAACTGGTACTTTCCAATTTCAGTTTCTTTTTCTTGTGACTTTTTTTTTGTATTTTCAAACTGTTTTTGGGCTACTTTTCGAAAATTATTAACTTTCGCTATATTTAAAATTTAAATAATAATTTAAACTTGAAATAAAAGTGTTAGTTAAGGTTATTACTTAAAGTTTCTATGAATTGAAAACTCCAAAACTAATTATATATTTATGCAGGCAGTGTAAAACACTTTTACTATATGAAATTCAAAATGAATTATATAATTTCATCGGTTATAAATTCTTTTATTTTATTAGAATTTGTAAATTCACTTTAGAATTTTTATTAAAAAAAAAATTCTTTTTTTTTTAAAAAATTTACGAAGCAAACGATTTGTTTCAATTTTAACTGTACACGTATATATTGCTTATTCCCTTGTCAACTTAATTCATTAAAAATGACAAAATTGAATATAAAAAAGAAATGAATAAAAATACAAATATATAAAAAAGGAACAAATTATTTTGTACAACAAATTAAAATAGTTGAAAAATATTTTTCTTCTTTTTTTGGCATTAAAAAAAGAGTAAAAATCAATATCATAACCATTTTTTCAAACTTTTGCTTCTTCACTCTCCAGAGTTGTTCCATTTTTATCTTATTTGAAATGAAGTGAATCAGGAAGAATAAAAAGCTAGCCGCAACATAATTATATTTATTCAGTTTAATTTGTTTCATTTTCTAATAGCTTTGCTGGGAATAATTTGTTTAATTACTGCATTTTTAATACGTTCGTTCTCACATTCCTTGTTTTAATTTTTTACTTCGGACGCGTTTACTTTTTTTTTTAGAATGGAACAAATGACAAAAATTTTTCAGAAAATGTAAAAGAGCGGAAGCTGATGTTGCAGTTAAAAGTGCGAACCGCGCCGAAATAAAGTTAATAGCTTGTGACGAATGAGTTTTTAACTAAATTGT